ATATATATTTTCTTTACCTTAATTTCTGTTTTGTTTGAGATAGAGTCTCATGTAGCTCAGGCTGGCCTCCAACTCGCTAAGAAACTGAAGATGACCTTGAACTTTTAATCCTCCTGCCTCCATCTCCCAGGTGCTAGGATTAGAGTTGTGTGCCCACACAGCCAAGCTCCTTAGTTTCTTTTTTATTTTTGCTTCATGTGTTTCCTCTTTTAAGTTCATCCTTTAATTTTAGTAGTATTTTGATTATTAAAAATCTTTTGTGTAAGCCGGGAATGGTGGCAACACATGTTTAATACCAGCATTCAGGAGGCAGAGGCATGTGGATCTCTGTGAGACTGAGGCCAGCCCAGTATACATAGTAAGTTCCAGGCCAGCTGCAGGGAGATCATGTCTCAAACAAAAACAACAACAAAGAAGTTTTGTGTAAGTGTGACAGATAAAGTTCTCAAAGAATTTTAAATATTTTTTAAAAATCTTTTGTGTGTTTTGCATGTCTGTTTTTGGTTGCCCATCAGAACTTAATGGTAAGACATTATGGATAAAGATACTACACACTTTGGTCACAGAGCATGGAGAAATCAAATTGGAAGCATCATCCCTGATGGCTAGCTTTCATAGTACCAGTATGTGCTATGCAAGTTGCTGAGGGAGAAAAGTCATCAATGGCCTTTTTCAGCTGTGATCCCTGTGAGCTACAGCAATGATCAGCATGGCAAGAAATGCCCACAAGTGCAACAGTGGCACAAATGTTATGGTAGGTAATCAACTGCTTTCTTATTGGGTTTAAGGAAGAAACATATGCCCAGTATTATATTATATAATATAAATAATCTAGCCAAGAACTCATGGTTGGGGAGCTCATAGGCCCCATGGGGTGAATGTATTACTATTATTTTACTAAATGGACATAGTATCAAACTGTCCTCCAAATTCTTATCTTTCTACCCATAGATTAATGCAGTTCTCAGACCTCATCAGAGAAATTTCTTCATGCAGTTGATAGTGATTAGCACAAAAACACAAAACTCAGGGCTGCAGAGATGATTCAGTGGTTAAGAGCAGTGGCTGCTCTTACAGAAGACTTGAGTTCAATTCCCAGCACCTGCACAGCAGATAACAACTGTCTGTAACTCCAGTTCCAGGGGATCCAACACCTCTTCTGATCTCTGCAGGTATTGCATGACATGGGTGCACTTACATAAATACAGGCAACACACTCATACATATAAAATAAAAATTATAAATAAGTATTTAAAAAAATCAAAAAACTCACAACTGATCAAAATGTAGAGAATAAGTGTCTATGGAGTGCTCATTTACAAATGGGACATTTACAAGGCACCCCTTCTCTAAGGCTTAGTAACTATCACAGAAGAGAAAGTGGAATGTTGACTTTATGTGAGCTCGTGGGTGTAGCAGCCCTGTCATGTCCAGAAGACCCTGTTTCATTCTAGTCCTCCCCAACCTCTGGCTCTTACACTTTTTCTTCTCTCAATAACTGTCAACGAAGATGGTTATATCCAAGCAAAAAAAAAAAAAAAAAAAAATGATGAGAGATAAGAGCATTTCACGACAAGCACAAGTTAGGCAATTCATGACCATGAAGCCAAAAACTGTAAAAGATACTTAAATGAATACTATACACAGAGGAGGGAGAAAGATATTCTCAACCACAAGAGCACAAGAAAGATAAATTTCCTGAAAGGAGAGTTAGGAAGGCAGGTATCATATACAACACAGTGCACCATCAACTGCCTAATAGGAGAGAAAGTAAAGAACAACAATAATCCACCCAGGCAGAAAACAGCCAACAAAATTACAAGAATGAGTAAACATCTCTCAATAATACAATGGCTTCGACTTACTGGTAAAGATATGCAAACTGGCTGACTCAATTAAAAAGTTAAATCCAATTGTTTTCTTCAAGAAACATACCTCACTAGTAGACCAGGAGTTAATGAATGGAAAACAACCTGTCAGACAAATGGAAGCCCCAAACAAGCTGACATAGCTATTCTGATATCTACTAAAGTAGACTTCAAAATTAGAAGAGATAAAGAAGGCTGCTAAATATTAACAAAGGCAAACAATTCATCAAGAAGGCATAGCAACTGTAAATAATTACACACCAAATTTTGGGGCTTTCGGATTTATGAAACAAACACTAGTGGTCATAAAATTTCACATATACTTTGATATAATAGGATGTGAAATAGCCCACTGACATTGCTAGATCATGAAAACTAAAAATGAACAAAGCTACTTCACTATACCATAGATCAAATGAACTTAACAGATAACTATGGAATATCCCATCCAATAGACAAGAATTCACATTCTTCCTAGCAATCCAAAGTAATGTCTATAAAATAGACTGCATTCTGGACCCCAAATCAATCTAACAGCCTGAGGACAGCAGGTAACCCAGCTTCTGGAGCTGCATATCTGGAATGAGCTTCACTGCTTGTTGAACTGAGAATTATGAAGCGCCAGTTGAGTGCCTGCCAACTATAGCCTCATCCTTCCAACGCAGTGTTTAGTACTGAGCAGGTGTGTGTGTGCGCTTGTGTGTGTGTGGGGGGGGGTTCACAGAGGTCGGGGAGGATTCCTGGTGTCCTACTCTATTATTCTCTTATTCCTTTGAGGCAGGATCTCTCGTGGGAACTGAAGCGGGGCTGTTTTCCAGCACACAAAACACAAACTAATCAAATGGTGTGTGCTGTGTGTGTGTGTGTGTGTGTGTGTGTGTGTGTGTGTGTGTGTGAGTTCACAGAGGTCGGGGAGGATTTCTGGTGTCCTACTCTATTATTCTCTTATTCCTTTGAGGCAGGATCTCTCGTGGGAACTGAAGCGAGGCTGGTGTCCAGCAAACAAAAGCAATACTACTCTTTCTACTTACCTCTCCCAACACTCAGATTACAGAAGTATGTAATCTAATGTCCCAGCCTTTTTTGACAAAGTCTCCCTAGCCAAAGCCTGCCTGGAACTCATTATGTAGACCAGGCTCTCTCATCCCATAGAGATCTGCCTGTCTCTGCCTTCTGAGTGTTGGGATTAAAGGTGTGCACCACCATGCCCCTTGTCCTAACTCTCCTTTTAATGTGGATTCTGCGAATTCAAACTCTTGTCTTCAAGCTGTGCAGGAAGCTCTTTCATCCACTTAACTATCTCCCCAGCCCCCTTAATAAGGTTTTGAAAGCACAGACTGGTCTATCTCTATGTTTGCTTCTCTACTCCAAATGTAGTCGGGAGACACCACCAGATTAGAGCTTTAGCCACCCCAGGTAGTATCAGTTGGAGAGACTCGGGATCATGGGAAAACCTGCCTGGTTCAAAGGGAAGACATCCAACATTTGACATTTCCAAGTTCAGTAACACCTTAAATGGAAATCAAGACAAGAGTCTCCAACTCAATTATGTACTCCAAAATCTTAGTAAAACAAGAGAAAGCCAGTATTAGAACAGAAATTACTGATGGCTAAAAGACTACTACAAAGATTCAATGAAACAAAGTGTTGGTTCTTTGAAACGATAACAAAGATTGTCAAATCCTTAAATAAACTAGCAAAAGAAAGAGAGAGAGAGAGAAAGAGAGGAGAATTTAACTGAATAAGAGGGATACTATAACATAGTAATGAAATTGAAAGGATCATTGGAGAATATTTTGAAAACCTGTATTTTGTAATGATGGAAAATCCAGAAGAAATTAATAAATTTCCAGGTACATATGACCTACTTACATAACTAAATCCATAAGATTAAAAAAAAAACCCAAATCTATAAGGAGCAAAGAAATAGAAGCAGAATAAGGAGTTTCATCCACAAAAATAAAAGTCCAGGACAGGGAAAATTCAGTGCTATCTTTTACCAGACCTTAAAAAGAAAAATAACAAAGTATTAGGTCAATGACACATATGTATGACTATGCCATGATGAAACCCATTTTTATTGTATTATGTGGGAACCTAGAAAAACCCAGAACAAATACCGGTCTAATGTTCCTTGAACTATTACATAAAATAAAAATGCAAAGAACTCTACCAAATATATTCTGTGAAGCCAATATTACCTTGACACTAAAACCACAGATACAATACAAAATAAAAGTATAGACAAATTTCTCAGATGAATATAGATACATTCTTAGCAAAATTCTTATAAACCAAAATCAACAAAGCATTTCAAAGATCATGCACCATAATCAAGTCAGTTCCACTCCAGGGCTGCCAAGATAGTTCAACATAAGGATGTCAATAAATGTAACACAACACATATAAGTTCGGAGACAGAAATCACAAGATCACCTGAATAGATATAGTAAAGGTGTTTGTCAAAGTTCAACATTCCCTCATTGATAAGGGCTCTAAGGAAGGTAAGGATTGGAGGTACATAGCTGAATATAGCAAAGGTTATATATGACACGCTAGTATTCAATAATATAATAAATTAGTAAAAATTGAAAGCAATTCCTGTAAAATTAGAAACGAGTCAACAGTGTTTACTCTATCTGATTTTATTCTATATAGTAGTTGAAGTCTTAGCCAAAGCAATAAAACTAGAGCAAAATAAAATGGGAACAAATAGTAAAGAATTCAAGTATGCTTATTTGCAGATGACATGATTCTACCCTGTAAAAACTCCACAAGAAAACTTGTAGATTCAATAAACTATTGCAGGCTACAAAATGAACCTACAAAACTCAGTAGCTTTTCTATAGAACAGTAATTACCTTGCTGGAAAGAAATCAAGAAAAGTATTCCAAACCATATGGAGGAATATACTTAACCAAGGAAGTGGAAAACCTGTACAATGCAAACAGTTCTGAATTTTATATGGAAGCATAAAAGGCCCTAAATATCTAACACTTCCTAAGCAGAAATGACAATGCTGGGTATAATAACACTTAATTTGGAGCTGTACTACAGAGCCTTAGTAGCAAAAATAGCACAACACTGGCACAAAAACAGACCTATAGGCCAATGACATAGAATAGTGGACCAAAAAATGAACCCACACAGCTACTGTCACCTGATTTTCAATAAAGGTGCCAAAAATATACATTGATAAAAAGACAGGTCTTCAACAATGGATGCTGGGAAAACTGGATGTTCTCATGCAGAAGAATGAAACTGGATCCCATGTCATACACCACACAAAAATCAAGTAAAGTGTTTCAGAGAACTTAATGCAAGACCTGAAATTGTGACACTACCAGAGGAAAACAGGGAAAATACATTAATTTATAGACATAGTCCTTTGTGAAAGGGACTCCAGTAGTTTAAGAAGTCATTGTAAATGTCAGCAAATGGGAGTGCGTAATACTAGCTTCTGTATAGCAAAGGAAACAAGAGAGTAAAGAGACGGCCTCCAGAACCAAACATCTTCACCAAGTGTACATCTCACAGGGGATTAGTATCTAGAGTATATAAGTAACCAAACATCAAAACACTAACAGAATCCAAATCATCCAATCAGTACCCAGGAAAATGAGCTGTGTAAATACTTTCATAGAAATACAAATTGCCAAAAAATGTATGAAAAGTATTCAACATCTTTAGCCATTAAGGAAATGCAAATTGAAACTACAGGGACATTCCATCTCACTGTTGTCAGAATGGCTATCATTAAGTGGTCAAAAGACAACAACAAGTCCTGGTGAGGATGTGTGGAGACATGAACTCTTACACCCTGCTAGTGGAAATGGAAACTAGTGTATAGGTGACTCAAAAATTAAATAAAAAATACAACCATCAT